TATCTAAATCATGATTTTGGACTTGTATTAGATTCTTCTATTTATGTTTCCAATATTGAATTATATTGTCATAGCGTATAACAAATCGCATATTAAAGATTCGACATATGTTGTTATTATAGCGTGTAACGAATCGTACTCTGAAGATTCAACATTTGTCATCCTATAGTAGTAGTTGTGGATTTAGAGCATGTGTTGTGTGATTTTAACCTACTTGTGCATGGAATGTGGTTTCGTGTATCATTTATTGCGTATAAATTATAAACTTACTTGTTAGTTTTGGAGTCACTTGGGACATTGTTAAGAATTGGTGGCTAGGGTTTGGCTCTAGTACGGGGATAAGAGTCCTCTAAGTCAATTGAATGCGAGATAGGTAGGCTGCCCAGGGGTTAGTAGCCTAAAAGTAGCCCTGTGTCGGTCTGATCCAATTAATATCCAAGTATATCCGCTTTTGTTGATTTCGCATTCAATTCTAAGTTGACAACCAATGTTTAATTGTGACTTGTGGTTTTGGTAATTGGCGATTTAATGTTGTTAAGTACATTATGCATTATGATTTTTAAGGAATTATCGCATGTTTTTAATGTTGTTAAGTACATTTATGAATTATGATTTGTAAGGAATCATCGTATGTTTTTAATGTTGTTAAGTACATTTATGCATTATGATTTGTAAGTAATCATCGTATGTTTTTAATGTTATTAAGTATATTTATGCTTTATGATTTTAATGAATCATTGTAAGTTTTTATGTTGTTAAGTGCATTTATACTATATTGTTCAAATGCAACTTAGGAATGATCCTATAGATTCATTTGGAACATAAACGTTAGGTGGCATGACCCAATATAGTTGTTTTCACATTTTAGATTTCAAGTTGATGACTTTGAGAATCTATATCTTATTGCTTTGTATAGTATGCTTTTATGTTGGTAAAATTGCATAGAGGATGTGATTTATGCTAGAAATGATCTAGGGTAGCTTAGGATGCTCCCTGAGTCTCACCTTTAACATAGACGTTACGTGGCATGACTTTTTGAATTGTTTTACATTAATGTGATAATCTTATAAAACGTTAAGTCTTTGCATACTCATCTCCTACGAGTAGCTTTATGTTACTCACCCCAAAGTTACCGGAGCATTTGACAGGTACGAAGACTTGGTGCACGATTCTCATCATGCTTGGATGGTTTGTAGACTTGGAAGTTTCAATTCTTGTAAAGATTGGCTTGAAATGCCACTTGTAGCCTTATATGTGAAATGTGTATATTTGATTCTAAATTTGTAATGTGTGTCTAAGCACACTTTTTGATTCTCATTTTACGTATATGATATGAGGCCAAGGACCAAACCATATTTGAAATTCATGTATATTCATAAATGTTAAAATTTGCCTTAATGGGAATATTATGAAAACTATGCGTTTTAATATATCATTTATGCACCGGAGTATGCATTGAGTGTGAAATTCATTATCTAGCATTCATTTAATATGTATGAGGTGTGGCCAAAGGCCAATCACCATTTTGTTTTCATTTTTACATTTTAATTTCATAAATTGCATTTTCGGCTAAAATAGGAAATCCAAGCCTTTACGGGTTCATTTTCAAATCAGATAGTACAAAGTGTGCACGAGCACATCTATTAGGACTTATTTTATATGTATAAAGTGTGGCCAAGGGCCAAACGGCCTTTTGATTGTATTTAAGTCCGGTTGTCGCATGTTTTGCCTTTAAAGGTCATTTTTGACGCATTGGGGTTTGGATAGTTCAAATTTTGCATTCGGCTGTATTTTTAAGCCATGGATCATTGTAGCGCATCCTAATAGGTAAGTTATGCCTGAGTGCATGATTGTTTTAGGGAAAACCCCTTTCCTTGGTGAAATGAGCCTTCTATAGATTCATTTTACATTTTTCTCGCATATCCTAATTTAAGGGCATTTTGGGGTTTTTCTTCGGGAAATAAATTCCGGTCTTGACTTTGTCACATAGAAAATGTGATTTTAGGGGTAGTTTCTTCACGACATTTTTTCAAAAAATTTTGTTTTGGCCTTCAAAATCCCAAATCCTTTTCATTTTTCTATTTCTGCATTTTTTTTTTTCCAAAAAAAGCTGTTAAAGCATGCCCTCGGCCCAACAGAGCCGGCTTGGTTCCAAAAGAGCCGGCTTGGTTCCAAAAGAGCCGACTCTTTCTTCAACCCAGTCGACTCGATTCACAAAAGAGCCGACTGGATTCATCTGGGCATCATTTTTATGCTCTCGATCCAACCCAGCCGATTCAATTCTCAAAAGAGCCGACTCGATTGCTCTCAGTCTAAAAGAGCCGACTCAGTTGCCAACTGAGCCGACTCAGTTTGGCTGCCATGATGACCTGTTTTCAAATGGTCATAACTTACTCATTCGAGGTTCAAATTAGGTCATTCTTGAGCCTAAATTCAAGAGCTTGAAGTTAACTTTCCAATGGTACCAACCACACCCTGAAATTTGAACCGTAGTGAGAGTTATGGCAGTTTTAGTGAGATAGGTTCCCGGTGTCACTTAGTCGCAGGACGCCGCTTTGTTCTATATTCATATCTTTATCATCCGGACTCCAAATTAAGTGATTCTTGAGTCTAATTTCATTCATTTTTCGTTGTCTTTCTAATGGTGTACAAAGTGGCATCCATTTCAGTGTGAAATAACTATTTTTCCCTTAGTTCATTTCTTTTCGGGTTTGACATTCTTACTTCATTGCTTGGCTCATTTGAGTTCCGTGGCTTCATGGGGAGTCACTTTGGTATCTTAGGGATGACGTACATCTCTAGAGACCCTTTTTACTTCTTTCGCTTCCGCATTTCAGACCCGTTATCGGGTTATCTTTTAGTTCATCACTGACGCACCGGGTTGAAAAACTTAGGCCGTCACATATTGGCTGTGGAGACACCAGGGGTCACATTTGTTAGGATTTATATGCCCTGGCATAGCAAATTCCTATTTGGATTAAAGTGACATATGTTCCTGACGTTTATGAAATATTTATGTTTTTATACAATTGGTGAATTCAATGTATTTAATTATAGAATTGATAGTGTCCACTTGATTACAAGAGATATTTATATATGTATGTGATGGCGATCAATACATGAATATAAATAGTAATCATAAATGGTTCATAGTCGGTAATTATGGATGGACTCATAATTAATTAAGACTTGAACTGAATCCGCGTTAAGTTGAGATATATTGCGAGAGCCGTCGTATGCAATTGCTCCCTATCACCGTCATAGCATTTGACTCTTAAGCATGAGAAAATTATAGACTCTTTTATTAATTAATAATTACTTTCATTTGTTCGGCTGATTCTTCGGGATCCTTAGACCGATACTTTGGGTAGTTATGTAATTAATAGTTAGAGAGTTATATTTTCAATATTTGCATCATTGCTACTTGTATTTATTTTGTATTAATTATGGTTGATCACAAAGTAAATTCGAAGGCCTTCGTATGTTTTTAGACAAAATGATTTATTACATATTTATTTATTTAAATTATTATTTTTGTCAAACAAATGTTTTATTGTGATCGAGCCAGAAATAATCAATGGTACCAAAATAAATATATTAATTAAGTAGTCGGATTGATGGCTTTATATATCCGATAACTAATTAAGAATAGAGGGGTCAAAGTGCAATATTGACTTAGAGGTTATTTATTATTTAATTGGAGTTCAATTAATTTCTTTTAGTGGAGTTGAAATTAATTTATGAATTAATTGAATTGGGTCCATGGACCGGGCCAATTATTAATTCATTGTAGCCAATAAAATAATAGGCCCAATGGATTCTCACTCATAACCTAACTTGATATTGGAATCATATTAGATTTGAGACATATGAATTAGAGATTGAGAAGGATTTGTTGTTTCCTTTTCTTTATTTTTATGTTGCCTATAAATATACATGGTCTATGTATATTTTGGGGTGTGATTTTTGGAAGAAGGAAAAAAGGAATAAATTTTTTCTCTCTAGAAAATTAGGGTTAGTGTTCTCATCTAATGGAGACTCCCACAAGCCTAGTTTTCCAAGGTCATGCATGGAGGCTTATGAGTGATTCCTAAAGGCAAGACCATCACCAAGAAGATGGAGATCCATGGAAAAGATGTCTAGCAAAAGGGATCTACAATAAGTGAGAACATTCACTTTAGAGGAGAGATCTAAGGTTTACTCAAATCTTGATGTAAGTATTCAATCTTTTAATTGAATGATACATCATATTTTATTTTTACATAAAACTTGTCTCTATGTGATGAATCAAGATCTATGAATTTAAATCCCTCGAAAAGTTTTTAAAACTTGCACGTTTCCCAACAACATTAACATTTGAAACTTAAAATACAATGAAATGTCGTCGTTCTATTATGGGCAAAAAGGTAAATGTCATTTTTTTGGTCAACGTTAGTTGACGGACTTGTCCTTATTTGCAACAATCTTATTATTTAGGAGGTTATTTTTAGTTCAGGAGAGTTTATTGCAATTAACTCAGTTCAGGGGAGTTTAATACATTTAACTCCATTTTAAAATTATCCCTATTTTGTAGTGCGCACATTTGGTTAAACGTGTCACTTTTTGTAATACATTTTTGTTAAAATGGTATTTTTCATTCATTATTATTAAAAGATGGTCGTATTTGTAACCTATCAAACATAAGTTGTCATTTATTAAAAAAAAAAAAAAAAATTCTTTTCATATTTTTAAAAAATGACAAGATTCGCTCTCTGTAACACTATCCATCTTGATTAAATGTCCCAAGACGCAACAACTAAAGCGTAACTAAGAAAATTTAATTCTAAATAGGACGGATTGTGGCGTTTTACCAATTCAAAAATCTGTTTCATGTCCATTGGTTTAAAATTCACTAAGAAAATGTCTCCTCAAATTTGCCAAAAATTGCTCCTATTAATGCGTTCCAAAAATAGTATCTTCAACCCAATAAAAACCCCGTAGTGTTTCACTTATTTGGCAGCAAGAGAAAGCGAAATGGCTAGGATCAACGCCTACTCTAAGCTCTTTCTAGCTGTTCTCTTCTGTTTCCTCCTTGCTAGTGCGGGTGAGTAGATTGTCATTTTGCGTACATAATTGCAATGTCTATTAGCCCTTCTGAGCTCAAAATTCACCACATTCTTATCTAAGCCCCAACTTGCGACGTGTCAGCTATTGTCAGACAATCTAGTTCACCCAGGGGCGTAGCAAGTTAATGCCCGGGCTGACACGTGCTCCCACTGGTCCTGTCTATTACAATATATATACTAAATCTATATATATTTTTCATGTATATATGAAAAAATTTATATAATGTGCCTGCTAAAATTTTTATTGATGTACATAATGCAGAAATAGTTGCCGCGAAGAAACTATGCGAGCGCAAAAGCAAGACATGGTCTGGGGCGTGTATTATGTCAAAGAACTGCAAAAAAGAGTGCAAGAAGAAGGATCATGCTGAAACAGGAGAATGCCATTCAGTGAATATCTTCAACCGTCAATGCTTCTGTCATTTCAAGTGCTGAAGATCGACTTAGACATATATAGTGCCAGACCTAAATAATCATTTTTCTTCTTATTATGTAAAACCAACTATATATTTTTATCATGATAAGAAGTATTATTAATTCAAACCCAATTAAGAAGTGTATTTTGTTTGGGTATGTGATGTGTATGGTCATCAAAGTTGTGTTTGGTCATTCAATTCATCTCAACATGGTAAACTATTATTAGTCATTTAAATTACACAAATAATAAAAATAATTAGTTAATTAATTAATGAAGTCCTTTATTGAATGGGTTTCGTGGGAGAAAATTTTATGATATTAGGCTGATTTAATTATTGTGTATGATTTGGTATGACAGTATTGTTCAAGTAATAAAAGATGAGGCTTTTAGTGTTCCCACTCTATTGATATTAGGTTCAATTCCTTTCTCCCAGCTAACTCCTAACCATTGTCTCATAATAAAAAATAAAATAAAAAATCATTGGGCACGAGTTGAAAGGAAAATATTTGAATTATATGACAATGGAACCATTTGGTGCTGTTGTTAATTATTATAATATTTGTGTACGTATATTTTTTAGAGTTTTTAAAAGAGCGTTGTTGGTAACTAGTAGGTAAAATATATTTTATAAATATTCATTTTAAAATAGTAATTTTTTTTTTTTTTAACCTCTACTTGCAAAAATATTTAATTTTGAACAATGCTTGTCTTAGGCCGCATAAGAATGAACTTCCTTCTTATGATGAGGTGGCCTAATAAAATATCAACAGGTGTTTAAGTTTTAAATAAAAATAAAAAAATAAAAAAAAAAAATGATGACTACAGGCAATAGAAACTGACACTTCTATCTTTATCTCTCAAAGAGAGATATATTATTTCTGTGTTTTGAATCTAAAATTAATCATTGTTATGGAGAAAAAATATATACATACATATATATATATATCACATATTATAAATAGTGATAATCATATTTAAACAATTAAATTTGGATGAGAAGTTTGTAATTAGATAGAAAAGAAAAGAAGATGAACATGAAATGTTTTGAAATTTAGGAGAGATTGGGATGAGAAATGAAAAAGAAAAGAAAAAGAAAGGAAGGTGAACATGAAAAGTTCTAAAATTTATATATAAGCGAAAGAAAGAAAAAGGAAAATTTTAATTTCTATATCAATGAAAAAAACCTAGGAACAAAAATAGGTGGCTAATAAATAGAGTGCTAGTTTTTCACATACTATATATATCATTTTTTATGAATTTATAGTGATTATTTGTTTCAACTCTTATATATGATTGAAAGATACTGATCTAATATATATATATATATATATATATATATATATATATATATATTCCAAAATAATGTTTGATTTTAGATTCAAAACAATAAAATAATGCTACGTTTCGTGTGCAAGAATGGAATGGAATGTAAGTGAGAATGGAACGAGAATGAGAATGGAATGGAATGGTCATTCTCATTCTATTGTTTAGTTGTAAATATGAAATGTTTAGGAATTGAATGATAATAACCATTTTAGTGTTTGGTTGGACCAATTTAAAATTTAGAATGGAATAAATTTCTAATTGAATTTTCCAAAATATCCCTCTTAGTAACAAATAAATTAAATTAAATTAACAAAATGACATTCTCTAATAAATTTTTTAAAATAAATGGTGGCAGTGGCTGTGGTGGATGGTGGAAAGCGATATTAGTATAGGTGGTGATGTTGGAAGGCGGCGGTGGTGGCAATGGTGGAAATTGGTGGTGGAAGGTAGCAGTGGTGTTGGTGGAGGTAGTGGAAGTGGCGGCGGTGGTGGTGGTGGAAGGTGGTGACGATGGTGGTGGTGGTGGAATGTAATACCCCTCGGATCCGAGATACGGGTTGATCAGGCCCAGGCCAAAACCCGAGGGAATATCAAACAATTAATATTTTATAATGAACACGGAATACAAAATAAATTAAAAAATGAAATTAAAGCTGGAAGGAACTAAAAATAGAATCCGCAAAATATTATAATTATTAAAATCCATCAAACCCAAACTCCAAAACTCCATCAGTTTACAACTTGGGAATCCATCTCTAGTGGACCCCTATTAAACATCCAAACGGAAGATAGAACAACTGTAATAAATGTCCAGAAATAAAACTATAGAGAGAGCCCTACATCGTCGGAAGAGTGAATAGCGACCTCTGCTCAGCACGAACACGTCTAAGCCTGGAACTGTCGTGTACATGAAAAAATAGAAGTGGGTTAGGCCCACGCGCAAGTTCTATACTACTACAATCCAAACAGAGGCCCGATACGCATGTACATCCTAAACAATTCAACAATAGCTGATAGTCCGTAAATATATATATAGTCACACTAAAGGACTCTCACTGGACTACAGGCCGGTCTCAACCTGAATAGAGGTAACATGCTAAAACGCACACGAAGTGGGCATATGTACCTATACCTAAATAGGGTACACCTCCAACCATCGTAGCCAGCTACACATCCCGATGCATATACGCTCCCTAACCATCGGTCCTGAGGCTCAAGCTCATACCGAGGTACCATAACAGTACATATATAAAATCCATCCAAAATCCCTGGTATTGCCGCTCAACAAGTAGTTGCCATGACAATACAAATCCACGGAACTTAACTTTTAGTTAATCCCATCCTTATTCCAAGTAGGTGGGTAATGGTATTGTTTTAAAAACCAAACCCATCCTTAGTATGCCACCGTCCCATACCGGTGCCTACTTTCCAATCCTCCAGTAGTCAATAATACCAATAAATCAAGTATATATCAACTAAATTCCAACATCCAACATTCAATGTTAGCAGTGATAAAATAAGCATTGATAAACAGGGTCACAACAACAACAAATACATGCCCAATTTAAGTTGTTCCCTTTAGTCTGATATAAAGACAGAATTAATTAAAACTTCCATTTAACACCTTACAAATGACATACAGATATGTAGGGTATGTATCACAAAATCCTAACCTCCACAGTTGATACTAACTGTGATAATGTAAGCATCAAAACAATATTCACAGTATGTATGTAGACATGCTCAAATTATAGTGTTCCACAAAACCGATCTAGTGTTAAATTCAAATCCTCCTAGTATTTAAGTTCCAACAGTTGCTATTACAGAAGTTAAGATAGCTATCATCTACACCCATCCTTCCAATAATTTATACTAGCAGTGGTAAGGAAAAACGTGAACCACAGAACCACAATGCATCCTCAAACATGCTTAGTCTAGGTTGAACAAGCATACAACACTACTATAACTACCAGTTTCATAACAAAACAGATATCATTTTAGTTTGGTTTAATCTTCATTAATCCTGGAATCATTTTAGAGTGCAAAGAGTATAAAGCCTAAGGGAAAGAGTAAGGATAGAATCTTGCCTCAGAAACTTTTGTTCAAAGTTTCAATGTCCTCTTCTTAAAAAATCCCGGCGAGTTCCAAAACCCAGTTACAGTTCACGGGTACGAAACACTATTCCCGAACTCAAAATCTGATCTCCACCGTTCAGATTGTGCGACACTAAGTCATGAACCTATCCTCCAAATTTCAGCTCGATCGGACCACGGACGAAGCAGTATCGGATGTTTGATGAAATCTAGGCAGAATGGAAAAAAAAACCTGTGCGACCCAGTTACTGTTCACGAGTACGAATCACTGTTCCCGAGGTCAAACTCTGATCTTCACCGTTCAGATTGTGCGTCACTGAGTTGTGAACCTCTCCTCCAAAATTCAGCTCGATTGAACCACGGACGAAGCGGGACCGGATGTTTGATGAAATCTGGGCAGAATGGAAAAAAACCTGTGCGACCCAGTTACTGTTCACGAGTACAAATTACTGTTCTCGAGGTGAAACTCTGATCTTCACCGTTCAGATTGTGCATCACTGAGTCATGAACCTCTCCCCCAAAATTCAGCTCGATCGGACCACGGACAAAGTGGCATCGGAGCTTTGATCAAACCTTGGCAGAATGTGAAAAACTGCGTTTTTCCTTCTCCACTTCCACAAAACGTGTGCTTTGTTTAAAAAACCCTACACAGACGTCTACCTTATACTTATAGAGTTTTCCTAAACCCTAGGTTCATTTAAGTCCAACTCACAATCCTAACCGGCCCATTCAATTAACGTAGAACCTACGACGGCTATAATTTAAAACCCTAATTTATACTGTAATTAAAACTCTAGTTAGATGTATTTACCTAATTACCCTATTCACCATTAAATACTTAACAAATAATCTAATTGAACAAAATAATAATTAGTAAACCCAATTAAACCAAATAAGACACACATAGAATAATTAAACCAATTACACTTAAACCATTAATGCCAATTAAATAATTAAAACACTAACAAGTAATTTCAATCAAATAACTAAACCAATTACACTTAAACCATTAATGCCAATTAAATAATTAAAACACTAACAAGTAATTCCAATCAAATAACTAAACTAATTACAATTAAACCATTAATGCCAATTAAATAATTAAAACACTAACAAGTAATTCCAATCAAATAACTAAAAATAAATATCATTTAAATAAATTAAATCACCATAAAAGAAAACAATTAAGCACCTAATAAAAAAAAATAATGACACATAATCAAATAAAATGCACTTAAATAATAAATTAAATACCATTAAATATTAGGAATATCCTTTTTAAAATTAGGGGTATTACATTCTTCCCCCCTAACAAATGGAATTCCGTCATCGGAATTCACTCTTACCTTCTTTCAATATTTCAGGAAACTGTGAGCGAATGACATCCTCTCGTTCCCAAGTGGACTCAGACTCATTGTGATGACTCCACTGAACACGAGCCAAAGGAATAACCTTATTACGAAGAATCTGATCTCGTCGGTCGACAATACGACACGGTGGCTCTAAATAAGTTGCATTCGGCTGCAACGCAATCTCCCCAACATTGATATGCTGATACCGATCCTCATCTCGAAGAAATTTTCGCAACATGGAAACATGAAACACGTTGTGGACGCGATCCAAAGTATCCGGAAGTGTCAACCGATAAGGAACAGCTCCAATGCGATCCGTAATCATGAATGGACCAACAAATTGCGGTGACAACTTCCCTTTCTTCCCAAAGCGCATAACACCCTTCATAGGAGACACTTTGAGTAGAACCTGATCCCCAA